CTTACCAGTTTCAGCGTCATTAAAAAAAAAATACTTTAGCTTACCTATTTTAATAACAATATATATTATTAGTTTATAGATTTTAAAGTTTAACTGAAAGATTTAAAATATAAAGCTTTAGTTTACGTGCTTAATTGACAACATTTAATTTATTAGTTTTTGGTTATTATAAATATAAACATAAACATCAGTTTCATCGTCAGACTAAAATGTTAAAAAAATATAAAATATTAATATTTATGAAGCATAAGACTTACAACTGTTTCACAACTTATTGGTTCAGTAAATTTAGTATTTACGATTTGCGTTAATACTACCTTTTGCTTATTATAAAGCTTTTTATTATTCATCTTTAGGTGCATAGCTTCAACTATCGATTTTTTGATCTTACATAAGGCTATGTTCTCAGATATTAAAGCTTATAAATTTAATGACCCTCTTAAAACCAAATACCACGACTAATTTTTGATCCTCTCCAGACGCCGACGCAGTCGATCGAGGCCACGTAGCAATCACCACCAGCTGAATGGAAGCCTGGCCTACGGTCATCTGGCGGAGGAGGAGCAGCAGCACGGAGACGATGTGGTTCCCCAGGAAGCTCGCACTATGCTCATGTCCAATTCCGAGGCTTTGCACTCACTGTACGGCGAAATCTCAACGGAGCGGGACGGCGACCTCACCCACCAGTGCATCCAAACGAATCTGGCGGATGTGATCTGCGGCGGTAAGTACACATTAACACTTATCTTTGATAATCAATGTCATCGGCAATCGATTAATAAATAACTTACAGGCAATCCCAATGACAAGATCATCTATCCAAGGGCGGCGAAGCGACGCAGTGCCTCGTTTCCCACGCCGCGCAGCTTGGAACGCCGGCACAGTTTGCGGCTCTTTGGCTCGTCGAAGCGCCTGCAACGCTGCGCCTCCACGCGAAGTCTGTCCAAGACCTACGCCCAAACGCTCAACACCACGGACAGCAGCAGCTCGGAATACCAAAGCACAGATTCGTCATCACCCAGTGAGTTTGTCAATCTTCTTCGTCAAATAATTACAATTCTAATCATGGCCTTACTTAACGTTCGCTTAGAAAAAGGATCTTTGCTCTCACGCCTGTTCCGACGCAGCGGTCGAGCCAAACAGCGACAGATTGAGACCTATTCGGCCCAGTTCCCCCCAGCCGAGTGGTTCAACACCAGAGCCGTTCACCTGCACAGCGTCGGCACCCAGACGGCCGAGCACGTAAGCACCTAAACTAAAACAGCATTTTTTTTAAAAAAAATATAAAATCTTTATAATAAATAAAAGATCCTTAAGACCAAGAAGACAAAACTTACAAAACGAAAGGTATTTAGTATTCAACATACTTTATATCCGGTTTTCTAAAACTATTGACAATTCAATATTCTGTTAAAGGGTAAATAACAACTTTATACCTACTACATAAGCCATATTTGCCTTTTTTCACTTAAAGAATTTTTATTAATATTTTTCAGTCAAGTTTTTCATGGTTTATGATAATAAAGTCTCGCAATTATCAACAGAAGAGCAAATAAATAAATTTTGAAGCTAGCAATCTGATATTACTATTCTTATTTCAAACCCTTTTTTTAAACAAAAAACTTAAGGTGAATCAAGTAGACAGTTTTAAACAATATATTTGTTAGAGCTATTGTGCAAGGAATGGCATATTTTTTTTAAATTTTAAATGTATCATTAAAATTTAACGATCCATGGATTAAACTTCTTATTATTATCTTAGAAGTTCCAAATGTAAATATCATTAGTTTTGAATGTAATCTTAAAATTAAATAATATTAAAATTCATACTCACAAAAAACCTTCCATTAACTCTCTCTGCAGGACATGCCAGTGGCCCACACGCTGTCCAACTCGACGTTCTACGACGGCTCAGAGCTGAGCCAGCGCTCCTCGACGTTGCCCCGTCGCCATCGACGCCACATGTCCAGCGAGTCGACGTTTCTGATTTCCTCCAGGGACTGCTCGCCCATCCGCCGCCGATCGCCGGTGTACTGCAGCAGTTCGCTACCTCGCTCCACGCAGTCGATACCGGCCACGACGGCCAAGACGAATCACTCGTCCCGCTTGAGTCATGGCCACGGCGGATCGGTGACGCCCACGCCGCCGAAGACGGCCCAAAAGTCGGTGATCGGGAAGCACATCTTCGAGAGCTCGCCATCGCGGTCCGCCACGCTGAAGGCGACGGCGGCCAAGCGCCACACGGACGGACTGATCATCAACAGCTGCCTGGACAACAAGGCCACGTACCGGAGCCTGCAGAGCAGTGGTCCCTCGAGCCTGGAGTCCTGTAAGACCTCGATGCTCGCCAGCGGTCCATCGAGCATCGACAGCGGCAAGGTGTCGTTCAGCCAGAAGACCAGTGGCCACTCTAGTCTGGACTCGCAGTGCTCCACCAATACGGCGGTGATAGCGCCCACGTCGAGCAGTAACGGCGGGAGTTCTCGTTCGATCCTGTTGCTAAACGGTTCGCCACGAGGGACACCACGTCATCAGGCCATGCGGGCACGAGTGGCCGAGGCACAGGCGCAAAGACAAAGGGCCAGCACGCCCAGTCGCATAATGGAGGAGATGATCTATCCGGCGGGCAGCGGCAGCGGTAGCGGTGTGCCCACCTCCAGTAGCAACAATTCCATCACCCTGCAGGTGACCACCTCGAATGGGAACCAAAGCATACCCAGCACCAAGATCTTTGTGCAGAACTCACCGGTCAGGAGTGTGATAACCTTGGAAAATGGCAAAATGCTGGAGAACTCCAATGTGTTCATCATCAACAACGAGACGATGACCAACGAGAAGGGCGAGATCATCAAGAAGACCCTGTCCAAGCAGACTTCAGCTGCTCCGGTGGCCACCTCGACGCCAGTCAAACCGGAAACTGTTTCCGAGCAGCCACTCAGCGAAACGGAGGCCAATTCCGAGACCTGCGACTCCATATCCTTCATCAGCGAGAGTTCCCCAGAGAATACGTGTGCCGTGGAGCCGGAGACGCCGATTTACGATGGAGGCAAGTACGCCAAGAACACCAATAACGATGCCACCATGAACAACAGCCGGAAATTGTGTCTCCAGTTGGCCAATGGCATTGCGTACAAGAACAATGTGCTAAAGAATGAATCGCAGCCAAATTCGCCCAGTGCCGATGCACCTTTGAAGCTGGCGGCACTGGCCAAGCAGGATTTTGAGATTGCCGGCTCGGTGGGCAACCTGCATTTTTACGAGAAGAACTCCAAGGATGTGGGTGCCTCGCAGAGCAACAACATGATGATGATGAACAGTAGCACGGACCTCAAGAATCTGTGCTACGAGTCCGTTTGTCAGCTGCAAAAATGCTCCATGAATGGCGATGAACTGGCATTGGCTCATCTCCTCCACAAGTCCAGCAATCCGCTGGGCAGTGAGCCCAATTTGGCACTGAAAGATCTGGCCAATGACAAGTCCATCGATAAGGAGGCCATTGATCGGCGTCTTAGCTTGACCAAGGAATCGCTGGAGCAAGGAATGGGCAATGTGCTGGCCAATGGCGGCGAGGAGCTGTATAATTTTCCCAGTCTAACCGACTTGTCCTTCAACTTTACATCGCTGGCGGCAAGGAAGATCCTACAGGGTGTGAGCCTCAACAGCATCGATACTCTGGTGGAACTCAATATGGCAGCAGCGGCGGCGGCGGCGGCGGCAGCGGCGGCCAACAATGCGCAGGAGCAGAAGCAGCAGAATAACCAGCCAGCGGCGGCAGGACCAACTGCCTCCGTTTGCACCGACTTTGGCATGGTCTAAAAGGGCAATCGCCTCCGACCCGACAGAGATCACCACTGTGGATGTTCCGGAGACGGCAGCCTTTTAGTTTAATCAAACGACAAAATCTTAGGATCTAGATAGGAGTTATCTATACTCTTCGCATTTGGCAAGCAATCTTGTGTAATTTATTACGATTTGATTTCCCCATTCGATAGCTGCAATTTGTATGTATGTATTTGTGTTTAGGGTTTTATCGGAAGCAAACTTTTATTTACAGTGCCAAAATACGTTTAGATTAATTTTAATTCGTATTATTTCATATGCCAGTTCGTATTTTGCTTATCAACCAACAGACACACCGCCAAGCGGTTTCTGGTGGTTAAGCGCAATCCGATTTATGTAAAAATCCACAAAAAATACTATGTGTTATCCTTACGTTTGTGTTTGTGTACATTATTCAAAGTAATTGTTTATACTAACAACCAGCCCCAAATGCAATCCTATCTATAAACGAGCCGTAACAGAACAGAGACGTACTACGAACATAGAATTTAGCACTTAAAAAAATACAATAATTTTGTACAAGGCCTTAATTAGTAAAGTCAGCAATAATACAAAATAAGTTGAATCACTAATAAAAACGATATAAACGAACAACAAAATATTTTATTTATTGTATTTTATAAAAGAGTTGATCAAATCTCAACTCTCCTTTTTAGTCCCTGAAAAAAGTAAAATTCCAGCAAATTAAAAATGCGATCAGCTGATCATTGGTATTATTTCTTTTCATTTATTGAAATTTTTAAGTCTTTTGCTTTTTCATATACATATTGTTTTTGTTTTTATATCGTGTTTCGTGTTTGTTATACTCGTATTTAATATTTTAGGTTTTGGGTAGTTTTGGCTCTATAAATATGAATAATTATAGCTAAATGCTTTTAAATTAATATTCAGGGTATATACACACACGCGGTATATACGAACTCCATTCTTTAGTTACACAAACAAACATAATGTTGGGTAAAGAAAATATATAATATACATAGCGCGCATTTAACGGGTGTAGGTGTTAGTAGTATATGCTAATAAAACTACATTCATAAATCGCATTTATAATCGCATCGAGGATTAGATCAAAAAGGGCATGGGCCAAGAAGTTGCCCAGGGATAAATTGGTGTTTTTAAAGTGTCTGGAGAAAGATTACAATTAATACATATGCATATTTATAGAATAGTTATCGTAGATCGTGGGTGTATTATTTAATGCTGATGTATATACAATTAGTTTTAGAAACTTATTTTAGTGTGTAGATAGTGGCGAACAGACAATTGTTTAATTTATTTACATTAATATTATCAGAGAACGAAGGAACATTTAAGAATTCACTATATACTCGTAAGCTGTGTGTGTGTGTGTGTGTGTTAGGTGTTAAAGAAAATGGCGTTCGGTTTCGTTTCGATTCGGATTATACAAGATACTTCATTTTATACGCTATATTTATATAGATTTAATAATTATCGCTTTGCTCAATAACTAAAATGTACATTAGATGACTTAGACCTCCGTCGACCGTCCGTTCTCATCCGTGCGCGAAGCCTTTCTTTCGCGCCCCGGTATTCGGCCAGTCAGTGGCTGCGCCTGCGCCTGAGCCTGTGCTTGTGCCTGTGCTTGAGCTTGAGCTTGAGCCTGCGCCTGCATTTGTGCCTGCTGCTGGAGCATTTGCTGCTGTTGCAGCATGTAAGCGGCCTGCGTTTGCTGCACAAAGTTGGCATGGGTATAGGCCTGCATTCCCGGCGCTGCATACACATTACTTGGCGTGGCGATCGCCGCCGTTGGTGGCATATTAAAACGCATCTTGGCCGCCGCCGCTGCATTGGCTGCGGCCGCAATCGCAGCGGCATTCTCCCTTGAGGCGCTGGAGGTGGTGGTGGACTGGAACGAGATGCTCATGCCGCTGTCCAGAGAGCCAACGCTGCCCCGTCGCTGAGGTTTCTCATTGCCAACTGGAAGATGATACAAAACGGAGTCAGTAAAGCCGATAGTTCGTTTAATCTTAATCTTAACTAATAACAAATAATACTTTTGTTTTTCTAACAAATCAAATAAATAAGCTATTTAACAATCGTAATATGAGATAAACTCACATTGCTCGTGCATGTCGAGGAGACTGTTGCTAAGCGCACTGCGCTTCAATTGCTGCGATGAGTCAGCAGAGTTGGCTGCCTGTTCGCCGGATGCCTGCGATCCAGGCTGATAGGGACACGGACAGACCTCCACATCGGCCACGCCACTGTCACGATTCTCAGCATTGCCAGGCGCACGATTGCGCGCCGACTTCTGGCGCTCCAGTTCGGCCTCAATGCGCAGTGACTCCATTTCGTCCATTTCACTGATGGACTCTTTGAGATCCTCGGCAAACTTGCAGCGATCGTGTTCGTTGCGGGCATTGAAGGTGATCAGGATCTTGCCGTCCACCTTCTGGGAGAGCTGGATGCAGAACGGATAGTTGGGCATGTCCAGCAGGGTGACAACGGTGCCGCACAGCGGGAAACTGTTGCGGAACGTGTACGTCACGGAGGTCTTCTTTTTGCTAAAGATTTTCGTAATGACCAGCAGATCGTTGAACAGGAACACCTCGCGCTGATGCACACCGGGTCGTTCCTTCTTGTTCACATCGGGTATCTCGTACAGTCGGCAATAGCAGACGAGTCGGCGATGGGGCAGCGCCAGATTGGGTTTCTTGCCCACAATGGTGGCCTGGACCTTCATCACCTGGGTGACATGGTCACTGCCGGGCTTGAATTCGTCGGACTTGACGCGTTCGTAAATGCCCATCAGCATGTCCTTGTCGATGTCATGGCAATCGTCAATGCCGCGCAGATTCTTGATGAAATCCTCGACGCGCATGCGACGCTCTGGCTTCAAATTGGGCGTGTGCAGATCGGTGTTCAGCATGATGATGGCAAAGGCCAGGACAAAGATCTGCAAAATACGATTCAAATTATAAGAGGGAAACTAAATTGTAATAAAATAATAAACTCTTACCGTATCGGATGATCTCAGTCGCCCCACAATGTCCGCATTGCACTCGCAGTAGCGCTGCGAGAATATCTCCATCAGTCGCTCGATCTTTTGCGCCTCTCCAGGCATCCGGAAATAGGCCTGAAACTTGCGCAAAGCCACATCCACTTGGCGACCGGATAGATCCAGTTCCATGGCAAAGCAACTGAGCACGGCCATGTTGAACTGGTTCTGCAGATTGCCCAAATACTCGCCGATCATCTGGCGGGACAAGCCCTTGCGGGTGATCAGGAAACGGGCCACACCTTGCGGTGTATTCTCGAGGAATCCCCGCCTGATCAGATACGTGATGCCCTTCTCCGGCTTCTTGTTGAACAGATTGAGGCCAACGCGATACTGTCTCTTGCGTATCGTCTCCGACATCTTGTAATTCTGCGCCACTCCGGCTGCAGCAGCGGCCGCCTGCAATTGCTGCTGTTCGTGTTGCTGCTGCTCATGTTGCTCATACTGAGCGGCACTTGTGTGCGAGGAGATGGCATGATCATCGGCCGGTGGCAATCCTCCGACCGCCGTGGCCGCTGCAACGGCTGCCTGCATTTGGGCAGCATACACACCGGCTCCGCCGGCCACGCCAACTCCACCGCCGGATACCGCTCCCGCTGAGTCCGCCGAGTGTGTGGAGAACTGCTGCGAGCTGTTCAGCGCTGTGCCGCGCTTCCAAGTGTGCGGTGAGTTGCTGCGATCCGAGCCCAAGTCGCTGTTAAGGTTGCGTTCCGCCGACGTTACACTCGAATCCGAACCAGAACTTTGGACGGAGGTCAAGCTGCCGTTTTCGGCGGTTTTGCACAGCCCGTTGGTCCTCAGGAGCGACGGAGGCGGCGGCGTTTGGCGTTGCAGCAGGAGCAACTGCGTCTGCTGTTGGGCCGTTATGGAGCTGGTGCGTTTGGGCACCTCTGGTGGCACCTTTTTGTTGCTACCCCCGCTACCGCTGCCGCTTCCGGTGCTGCCGCTGCAACTGGGCGTGGGCGTGGTGCTGCCGCCCTTGGGTCGCATGTATATCTGGGCCGCCGAATAGTAGGGCGTGTGCGGTGAGTGACCGCTGGTGTTCACCCACGAGGCATTTAGCGAGGTGTCCGCCGAACTGGCATAGCTCAAGTCATGCGGCGATCCATGGTAGCTGGTGTAGTAGGCCGCTGCCGTGGGCAGTGCCTGGGCATTGTAGTAATGCGGTTCGGCCGCGTGCAACAGATTCACATGCGGATGGGAGGCCAGAGCGGAAGTGCTGACTGTCGAACTGGCAATGGAGGCGGGCGAAGCTCCTGTAAGTATGCAAAATCAATTAGTTCAAGCTTTAGAATAATAATAATTGGAATTAGTTGCCACCTGGGATAATAATACTGCTGTAAGACAGCTAAATCCTAGCCTAATTTCTTGTAAAACCCTGTTTGTATATTTATTTTAATAGCATTACTTTGTGATTGCTTAGATAAGATCAAACATTTATAGATAAGAGATCAAAGACCTTTCTTAAAAGCCTAACAAACTGATTACTGTGTGATAAAACAAAATTAAGACGCAAAAATTGTTCAAGTCTAGTACTTTATGGCTATTAAAAAAACAAAAAAAAGACTGCAGATTAACATTTCACTGATAAAGGTACATTTAAATGTTTATTAAATTTAATTTAAATAACTGGGGGTACTTCAAAAATACGCAACATTATCTTGTTTACATTATAATTAAAATTTCAGTAGGTCATAAAACCTCGAGTTCGCGAAACTCATAATTGCTTAAATAAGTCAACAAAAAGGTTACTCCAAACAGATAAAGTTAGTTCGTGGAAATTGCGAAATAGTTTAGAAACATGAACTTAAAGAAAACATTTGAAAATTATTACTTTATGGTATCAAGTAAACTCTTTTAACTGTTTACTTTTATATAAATTAAATGTGTTTGTTTTTAAGGCTGATATTTGATAATACGATGCAATTTTAATCTTTATCTTGCAAAGCACCTTGAGCTGATGCAACTTTAGTCACTCTATTTGCTATCCCGGTGGCAGGTGTGTTGGCGTCTTATCTCTGCTCACCTGACTGACTGCGCGGTATGGGACTGCAGTCCAGCTGACGTCGTTCCCGCATGGAAAGCGATCGCGTTGGCGGTGTACGGGATAAACCCGGCGAAGCAGCTCCCGCCGGACCCGCCATTATGGTGACACGTGGCTGCTGCTGTTGCTGTTGTTGCTGCTGCTGCTGCTGCTGTTGTTGGTGCTGTGCCGCCGTTAGTTGTTGTTGCTGTTGCTGCTCGGCAAGCTGAGATTCCGTGGCACTGCCGTAAGCCGACGATGAGGAGGCACCCTCCTCCGATAATCCAAGGCTACTGGCCGTCACCACCATGCGTCGACTGAGCCGCTTCTCGGCCTTGGCCATTGCCGTGATCGAGGCGAACTTCTTCACCATCATGTAGTGGCGAAAGGCGCGCTGAATTGTGACCGCCGCGTTGCGGGCTCGCACTCCGCCGTACTTGCGCTCCAGCAGCTCGATCTGTTTCTCCAACAGATCTTGTGAGAGTTCGTAGCTAATGGGTAGATATATATTATATATAAGTATCTTGCGTATCTTGGGTATCTTGGGTATCCGGTGTGTGCCGAAATGTGCGCCCTGCTTGTTGGTTGGCTGTTGGCTAATTTGCAAATAACTGGCAAAAGTCTACGCCGGAGACCGAATGTTTTGCCCCGCCCGATAAGATAGCGCACGAGTATCTTTGAAAACACACAACTTTCTGGCGTCGTCACTGTCGCCCCTCTGGGCTGTCGACCTGATTACTTATTGTTGTGTGTGCCTCGCGCCACAAGCAATTGGTAATTTCAATCGATACTCCATCTGCAGACAGTTCGAATTAGTCAACATGGCCCTTATAAAGTAGCTATTAAAGTGGAGGGAAAAAAACTACTTTGGGGCATTCCCCGATTCGCAAACTCATGGTTCTGCCTGCATGAAATTCGGAAAGCCAGCTGCATTAAGGTCCCCCACTCATCTGATGATATACTGCAGTGGAGCAAATATTTGCCTGGACGCCACTATCATGAGACAGCGCCTAATCTAAGATACCACCTGTATATCCCTGATGATTATTATTCAAATGCTCAACGAGCGGGCAAAGTGCAAACTCATTTAGCTGAATGAATGGTCAATGCACAAGGCACACTTTTACTTTTACAAATAACTAATTAGATAAGCGATGAGCTTCTGTTGCTACCCTTCAGCTTGATGGATTGTTTAAACAAGAAATGGCGAAATGCCCCAAGTAGGCAATTAATTTTCACCAAAAACTGTCTGAGTTCTATGTTCATTGCTAAGCATATTTAAATACAGAAATTAGAACTAAGCATTGTCATACGTTTTTTGTTTATATATACAGCACATTCTCCAGATAAAGTGTATCTTAATCTTACGAATTTTTCTATAGATGATAGCCGCATGACTGTGAATAATTTATTGCTGATTTTTTAGAAGTATCCCTAAGAACTGATAAACGCACATCTTCGATAAAATTAATTGAATTGAAATAGCTTATCAACTTTAAAGACAGTTCCAGAATATTATTATTGTTATATCATAACAATCCTAGTACTGCGATTGCTTAATCATTTTATATTTATAGCACTATTATTGGAACTTACGTACTTTAGTTGCTAGATTTAAAGCCCAATGTTTTTAAATAAAAGTCTAGCTAACAATGAACTATTTATAGAGGCTACCTAAATACTAGGATATATGTATTTAATAACTTTGAAAACCATCTGTTCTTCGTTACACTTTATCCTAACGATGCCGCTCATAATCTTACACATTTTGATAAAACTTTTTCTATTCTCCCTCCTAATTATACATTTTGATAACGATTGTTTCCCGGAAATATTCCATATTCCCCCTGTAGAACACACATTTATTGCTGCTCCTAATAGCCAGATAGCTCCCCTCGTTTCCCATTCTAGTGTCAACATCCCCTGGAGGCAGTACTTACGCTGACTGAGCTCGCCCTCGCTTGAGGACATCCCCGCCATTCCGGATGGAGTTCTTCTTGTGCATATTCTGTTGCTGCTGCTGCTGCTGCTGTTGGTGGTGCTGCATGATCACACTGGTGGCTCCGGATCCCAGGCCAGTGCCCACACCGCTGCCGGCGATGACCACCGCCCCGCCGTGGCCATGATGGTGGACATGATGCCCATGGCCATGGAGCATGTGATGGTGGTGGTATTGGCCACCCGTCGCCGTCACCTGCATGTAGTGACCTGCGCTGGTCTGATGCATGTGTTGCTGTTGCTGCTGCTGGAGGTGCTGCTGCTGTTGCTGTTGCTGCTGCTGCTGCTGATGGCACGTGGGATACTGCTGGATTTGGTAGACCATCTGGGGATGCTGTTGCGCAGGATAGTTGATGGCGGCCGAGTTGCTGTGGGCGCCGGGTGCATAGTGATTCTGCAGGTAGACATAGCCGCCGACACTGCCACTATCTGTGCAGGAGGAGGCATTGGCAGATCCCGGCTGTTGCGCTCCAGCCAGTTCATACTGGGTGGAGCCGCTCCGCTCGAGGCTCTTTTGGGGAAAGCTGAAAGTGAAAGAGGGAAAGAATTTGCTGGTTAATCAAGTGGTTCTATCAGTATGGCTCAAGAGACTACTAAACAGGTGAAGCACTCGCTTCCTACCCTCGAGACAATATATAACTACATATAAATAATATAACTTTCACAAGATTTCTTTATCAAAATCGCTTATCAAAGAAGTGTGGCTCTTGAATTATCAATGATTGGTATTTAATTTAAACCATATGACTCCATGCTTTTGTTCAAATCAATGAAAATGAATATAATAATAATTATTAATTCTATTTAAAGTACTTAAAGTCATACTGAACAAGAAGATGTTTAATATTTAATGCATGAAGTGCCCTAAAAATACAAAATTATATCTGGATTAGATATCAAAATTGGAATCTACAATGAATAATAATGTTTTTGATATAAACGCATTACAATAATTTAAAATACATAATCCAGGCAGCCTAAATTCCATATAAATAATGGCTTCTCTTTGGAATTTCCAAATTCGATAACAAAACCAAGCCTTTTTGTTTTCATATCTAAAGTATAAGATAGGAGAACTTTCGTTTTCTGGGTCAGGCCATGGGTTCCTACCTTTCGCCAATTATAAAACCCGATATGCAAATGATCATGGTGCACAAAAAATAAATATCACAAAACGCTGAAGATTTATGCACTAAGGCGGTGGTGGTGTGGTGGTCTTTTTAGAGACACATTTGGGCACAGTTATAGATTGAGAGAATCACAAGATCGTCGATAGATTGTTGTTAATTAATACGCGATTCGCGACCGCTTGACAATGATATTCAAATTGAATGTCGGTCGGTTGGGAAGAGGCGACAGAGGAAGCACTAAAAACCGGCGGAAGGGAACTATATAGGTGGTATATATATATATTGGGGCCAGGGTAACGTCCGATCCCGGTGATGTTCGCGTTTGAACTAAACCGAGCGCTCGACGAACGCTTAACAAAATGAAGCGGGTATTTCAGGAAGAACCAAACTGCGCAAGCGCGTCGGCGGCCCCTCTCTCTCTCTCTCTCTCTTGCTCTTTCACACTCTCTACCCATCTCACTTCCTCTGAAAACGTGTTTCGCATGGCTCATTAAATTAGTGTACGTGTGAGTGATCATCCTACACCTACACACATACACACACACACTCATATAAAAAGAATCCCACACGAAATGCATCTGTTTTGTTATGCCCTCGTCGGGTTACCCAAAAAAGAACAATTGTATGGGATAGTACTACCCCTAACACAAAGAAAGCGGAAAAAATATATAGAAATTCTAAGCGTAAAAGGATCCATTATTGAAAGGAGATAGAAGGACAGGTAGAGAGAATGAGAGGGAAAAGGAGCACTACTATATGTTGCAAGGAAAGTGAAGGAAATGATTAGCCCACGATGACAAACTTATTGATCGGCACAGGGACCTTCGATGCCATTGGATTGAAGCAACAATTGGGGAGATAATAAAGGAGATTTTTGGCAGTGATATATCAATGCTGAAGGATTTTGTAAGGATGCTTTGCAGAAAAATCAAAAGGTGAAATCACTAAGGATCTGTCTAAAAATAAAAGATAGAAGCCTAGGGATTTTTTATATTGAGGATTTTGATTTACTAAGGAAACTTGAGACTTCACTTATAAAACATTAACAATTTTTTAGTATGCATTTATATAGTAATTGCATTTATCAGTAATTACAATTTATATTAATTTATATATTGGGAAATGTGTACATGATTTTACACAGATTTGTTACGACATAGAACGTAACTCTCCCGTTAATCTATGCACCTAAACACTTAATTGATTTACCCTTAGCTAAAAGACTAGATAGATTACCCTGAAATCATAATTCGATTTGCTAGAAAACCTCAGATAATTCATTATCTACGTATGCAATACGAATGACTACCAGAAATCTTCTCGCAGCGGGACCAAGCCAAAAGATCGACATTAAAAACTCGAGGGCAGCTGCATATTTGCACCTAGCAGGAGTCGGACAAAAACAGGATCAGCAGGATTGCCGAAGGATAACGAAAACAGAAAATTGAAAGGGGCATCCTTGCTGTCTACCTTCATTCCACTCTTTTCGCCAGTTTTCCAGCTGCACCTGGCTGGGCATTGTATGGGTTTTTATTTTATTTTCAGTTTGTGAAAGGACAACAACGACGGCAGGTAGTTTTGCCTGGTGAACTGGCTTGTTATTGTTATTGTAGCCACTTCTCCGCACATCCCTCTGATTTTTTAAGAGTCCTGCTTGCGAACAGGAAAAACATCTGCCACACGTCGCCCTAATTGTTTGCCGTTGCACGTTGCACGCTGCACATGTTGGAGCTGAGTTCGTCCGTCTGTTTGACCACCAACCCAGCAGGCAAGTATCTGTTTATCTGTGTATCTGAGTATTTTAGTATCTGGTATCTTGTATCTCAGCTGACACTTAGACGTCGACGCTCGCGAGCCAAAACTGCAGCGGACTTCCTCCTGTTTTCGTATGCAACAAGTGTCCAAGTCGGTTGACGTGACACAACCGCCGATGGCCTACTCGGCGTAATTATTATTGATTTTACATTAGATTTCTCGGGTTCTTTATGTGCATTTTGAAAGGGGGCTTAACGTCTATGGAGTGTGCCACAAGCGGGCCAGACATTTGGGGTTGGGGTTGGTGACTGGGAAAGAAACTACAAACAGACCGCTGTGCCTTCCAATCAATGTATTTCCATGAATACCAACAACATCAATATTAAAAGCTTATTTAGGCATTTGAATCCAAAATTCGACGCCGGGCTTCTCCTACCCTCCGCTGATCATCACGCGATCGATTGGCCTCCAATTGATAACGATTCCTCTCGTTTGGCGAATCCTTGCTTTGCAATAATATAGCCAAAGGAACGCCCAGGACCATTAGGACAACGCAAGCGTAGATAATCAGAAAGTATGTCACATCAAACTGCTTGAATTCTTCAGCCTTTTTTAGGTTGTGTATTATTGGTGATTCCATTTCGGCTTTGCTAGTTCTTTCTCTCAATGCTAATAGGTAGTGGAAAAAATTTTGTAGAAATTTTGACAAATGAAGCCGACAGATTTTTGGAAGAGTTGATGCCTGTATTTAGTTCAAACTGGTTCTTATTTTTTTACATTTTTAATTCACTTCATGTAGTTTACAAAACTTTGTTATTTTTAACAAGTTTACTCTACTAACACATTTTAAGTGAACTATATTATTTAATTTTTTGTTTTTAAACTACTGTATATTATGTTTTACTTGTGGATTTTATGTATTTTACATTTACTTCATCACCTGATCTTTTAACCCTGAAGGTATGCAACAATTTCTGCCTCGTAAATAATAATTTTATCTTGATCCAAATGGAATCCACACATTTATTCAAGTTTCAAACCAAACTTCACTTTTTTCTAATTTGTTGAATTTTTCTTTTTTTTTTTAAACGGAAATGTAATGAAATATATTTGAGCATTTCATATCAAGACTTAGCAACTCACTCTTTGTTTATTTCAATATTTATTTATTAAGTTCCTATTAAATGGTAGTGGGTGTAAATTGATTTTAAAGAATTCAAGAAAATTCCAAGACTTAAGCATCCAGCAATAAATATTTACAGTACACTCTGATACCGTGCGTATTAATAAATAAGTAAGTGGGTTTATCTCGGTCGATACTTTCTGGCTGGCCAAGAATAGTCAGCTCACAAAACGGCTGCCCAAGAACAATGTCGGGGACCCACCATAAAGATAACTGATAATAACGAATGAGTGCGATAAGCAACTGCACTCAAAATAATTATTATTTGTATTTAAAATATCTATGATTTTATAAGTTTATGATGAACACAATAAACCTAATCATTTTAAGTTTACCATAATAATTTTATAATAATAATTTTAAAATCTAATAAAATAATAACCATAACATTCGAAAGAAACCCCAAAGTTTTTAATGTGGATAAGCAACATTTTCAGGTTAATTCAACTGTTTTTAAACTATTATTTATTAGTGACATTTTTTATTATTTATTTTGGTAAATATATATATTATAAAAGGAATATCCTGATACCGTGATAAATAAATGTGCCCAATGGAAACATTCAAATCGTAATGGCAATAAACCTGTTTACATATGACATCTTTTCGATTTATGTCAAGGTCTAGATATATTTGAATAACATTATATAATTTGCAAAAAGTTTTGATGTATACTTTTCATATACTTTTTTTTTGAGTGCTTTGCACAGCTGGATCAGCGGTCTGTGCTGTGCTGTGGATCGCGGGGTGGCGCATGCTTACCTGACAGCCGTCACATGGTGCGAGGTGTGCGTCTGAGTCTCCTTGTGCCGGGTGGACAGACTGACCACAGTGACGTGCCTCGTGGCTGTGCGCACCACCCGCCGCACCCGGCTCCGCCCATCGCCCACCACCACCACAATGGGCGGTGGCCTCTTTTCGCTATCGCTGCAATACTGCAGGAAGGACTCACTGCCGCCCAGATCCGAGTGGCTGGAGTGGATGTGGTGGCCTTGCGAGCGGGACGAGGAGGAGGAGGAGAGGGGTGCTGGAACGGGCAGCTGCTGGCGACGGGACTTGTGGTTCTCACACCTGGACATGATGGTTTCTGGTATTCTTCATGCGATTCGGGGGTGAAGAGGGTCAGCTTGAGACGGCGGTTACTTTCGCCTTCACCGTCGTCATGCAATTGTATTTTGTATTATTATTATTGGAATTTCCCCCTTTGTGTTAGCTATTCTTCGCTTTGTTTAGTTACTTTCGTTTATTCATTTGCAAATTGATTTGTTTTGTTGTCGTTTCGTTGTTTTTTTTTTTGATGTGGTTTATTAATTTATTTACGATCTGCTTCTTCGCATCGTTCTTTGCCATTTTATCTTTGGTTTAGTTTGGGAATTTCATGTGTGTCGCTTTGCGCGGCTACATTCTTCTTTTTTAGTTCGATTTTTTTTTTATTTTCACAATTTCGATTCAGCGTCGGAGCCTAAGATAAAGCATTTAGTCCGATAATAATTGCAATTTGTTCACGGTGACATTTCCTTTAGCAAAGCCACATTTATTGTTCACGTATTGCGTATACGACCCGTTGAGACCGGAGCGTTTCGGAACGTCAACGATGGAGAGTGCCCTTCAAAACGCGGTTGTCATAAAAACAATTCATAGAATACACAGTTTATGACTGGCAATTGTTTCGGGGTTAGAAAGCCAGTAAGGCAGACGATGCGAAAGAGAGAGCACTGAAGTGTTCATAGATTATGGTATAGTTTTTACAATATTATAGACTTCTGTATACCCAATATAACCAATCTTGGTATTAAAATAATACCTCTTGATTAAGTACACATTTATGGGAGTTCTGTCATACAATTGTTCTTAGTATTATTTTTAAGCACTCCATCTACGTTTTTCATCTGCACTGATTCACCTTTTTCACATGAATCACATGTCAAATAAGGATAGTTATGGAATTAATTAAGTTGACATATATGGGACGTTGTGGATTTAAGTTAGCTGTCGAAACAGTTTAATTGGAAGCAATTTGAAATTCCAACTGAGTCAGCAATTTAAATGGTTTAATGTTTGTGAATATCTATCATTAGATACTCCAGTTACTTTAGCAACATAAATCATTGAAACAAGTGATTTAAGCAAATTAACATTTGTTTTTTGAAAGTGCTACAATCCTTTTAAAATTGTGTTAAATCACATTTATTGAAATTGGTTTAGACTTTTTCAGTGGTCATAGAATTATGTTAGATTCCAGCCCATTATACCCCACTTTTGGGTGAACTCACTGGGTGCAGAATGACACTTGCAAAACAGAATTGCTTTTATTTATTAAAGCCGCACCGAGAGAGTCGCAGTTCGCAGTTTGCCATCGCATTCAATCAGCTTTGCGGCTGTTCCGCTTTTTGGGTCAGCGTCGATTGTTGATCGTTGATCGTCGATCGCAAGTAAAAGTCGCAAGTTGTCAACTGCAGACTAGAAAAAAGCGAAACAGCAGGCCAGAGAGAGTGGAAGCGGGACTGGCGAATAAACAATATTCAAATTGAATATGTCAGACACGCAGACAGCGGGCATAACAAAATCGATTTGGCACCAACACAGACAAGTGCATGTGTGAATAATCCGATATATTCCGAAATGATCCAGACATGAGGCCTCGAAAACGTGCCTTGGGAAAGTGCGATCTGGCAGTGGGCCTAGGTTTATTTTTTTCAGGAACGATCGTGGGTGATCTGATTAGATGATTAGCAATCTACTGACCTGATCCACTTTGCAAACAAAGCCCAAAAGGCCGCGTGATCGTAAATCATATGAAAATTTATGTGCGAAGTGCGTGAGAAATCGTAATGAAAACAATGAATAGAAAGGGAAATATACAAAAAGTGTTATTGTCCCAAGATCAAGATCTCTATATGGCTATAAATATGTATGTATGGAAATCGCGGCAAAAAAAAAAACCCCCACACTTTCTTTCGTGTTTTATTTTTTATGTATATATTTTGTCGTAAAGTTCAAGAACCTTTTTCGAGTGGCTCAAGAGCTTGAAAACGATCCCGAGACATCTCTGTTACAATTGTGACAACACTTGCCACTGTCTCTGGTTTTTGTTTCGTCATACTATATGTACGCTATACATATACCATCTATAAGAACCGAACGAATCGAGTAAAAAGCTGTTCAAACAAACGAATTTCGCTGCGACCAGGCGATAATCTCACGACTGGAGCCCAGCCTTGGAACAAGTCATGGAATTATTGGCCAAAACAAGTCGCCTACTGCCAATATATAAACGCTTCAGGGGAGTTCTCAATCACAATCGCTTAGAATGCTGCCGGGGCCCACTCACAAAATACAAAAATATACGAAATCACAAGCGCACAAAAAGAACAACTGAATGCTAAAAGCTGAATATTTGTATTATTTAGCAACTATTAGTGTTTGTGGCTTTTCTAGTTGTTTCTGCTGCTGTGTTGCTGTGACTAGAACAGTTCAAACTTGTTTTCCCCTTTTTTTCGTGTGTTTCGTTCGTTTCTGAGAAACTTTTGTTTGTAATTGCAATTTTGTCAAACAAGTTTTTCGTTGTTTTAAAGTTTAAAAAAAAAAAAAACTCAGTTGTATTTCTAGTTCACTCTAAATTACAGTGTTCGCTAGCTAATTAGAGGATTAGGGTAATTTTTATTCAAATAATTGTGCTTGCAAAGTTATGACCTTTCGGAAATCTTGTTCTACTTTGAATAAGCAAAAACTAAATGGAATATGTAATGCTTTTATAATTACACTGCGTTTTTCCTATGCAGTTCTTTTATATTTCTAGAAATACATATTGTTGTAATTTGCTATCTTTTTTTCCTAACTTATTCCGATTTAATTTAACTCAATTTGAAAAGGGTGTACTTCAAAAATGGTTTCCATAATTTAGATGCCAATATGATCATTGTCGTATTTTCTGTCTCGTAGATCAATAAAACCTAATAAAGAAAACCACTGTCTTTCGACTGATTTGGTTTATTGTCGCTATTAATTTTAATTGTTTTCCCAAGATGTGTTTTGAGGGCGATCACTGTAAAGTATATAGTATATGGACAGAGCTTTGGGGCTCTGCTGGCTGTGTCTAAAGCTGCATCCGCTCTAGAGCACGACAGCTCTAGCTTCGGCTAAGGCTGGCTACAGCTGCTATAGTTGCAGCTTTTGTTGCCGCTGCAGATAGAGCTATTGAGCTGCCTTTGTTTTACAGGTGTTCCACTGCACGAGCAGCAACAGCAGCGACGTCAGCCACAATCAGTTGCAAAGCTGTTTTCTTGCTTGTATTGTATAATTATTTAATTTATAATTATTTGTGGTACGCTCTTTCCCTCGCACACAAATACTCGGAAACGAGCTTAGAGTTTGTTTAATGCACAGAGGAAAACACTAATTCTGAGAATTTCCAAGTTCAACATTAAACATTTAAACATTTAAACATTTATTCTGCCCACGACATAAATATCCTTTTTTTCATTTAAAGAGTTTTAACTAAATAAAAGTTGAATTTTCTTAAATATTCGAAAGTTTCTTTAAAGTGGAAAATACAATATTTTTAAAATAAAATATTTCTATTTTTTAATTTGTTATAAAGAGTAATACTGAAAACAAAATTTTTGATCAGGTTTTGTAAAATCGTTTTTTTTTTTCAGTGCTAAGGGTTGGGCTAGGGGGAAGTATAGGGGGTGGGGGAGCGGAAGAAGAGGAGGAGGACAGCTCGTGCTCAATGCTTTTTATTCACTTTCGTGTCATTAGTCACAAGAAAAGCACTACCACTCACTCGTTCCAGTCTCTCTTCGCTCTTCGATTTCTCTCCCAGCGGAAGAGGAAGTGGAAACACAATATGCAACAAACATCGATGCGGCGACGCAGCGTAATTGGGTGGCAAGCGATTATACAAGCCTGACCGAAAGGCAAAACAAAAAGCCAACAACTGCAGCCAAAGAGCAAGAGTCATACAGCAAACTCAAACCAAAAGCAAAATGATTTAAAAATCCAAAAGCAGCGAAAACGCACTGGAAAATGCATTACTTTTTTAACGGGAGAAGAGAGTGAGCAAAGAAGAGAGCTCAAAGATTGATTCAATTTTTTTGGATCAACGGCTTTTGTCTTTCCAAGCTTTGTTTACCTCTCCGATCAGCTGATTAAAAATAAAGCACCAAATACCGTTCAAAAACAAATGTTTTATAATATAAAACATATATGAATCAAATTAATTGAATTGAAAAATAAAAATACTGTATTTTAATGAATCGTTGATTTGAAAAATAACACTTACAAAAACAGTAATTTATAAGTAAAGATCAAATCAGAAATGTTTTGATTTGTACAATTTTCGTTGTTCTTTAAATGTGAAGTGAACCACGATGAGAAGTTCTAAATGCTTTTAAAAGATCTTTATGAACCATTTAAGTCACTGGAAGTGCTCACGAGAGTTGCATTTTAAGTGGCAACAAAAGGTGATTCAAAAATTAAACCCCTTTTCAGCTGGCCTTATGCTAAATCAGTGAGTGATTCAGCTTTTTTCGCGGTCAATACGAACAGAAAATTTTCAAAGGAGTATCTCAAATTTTCGACTTTGAAAAACAGCTCTGAGTACTAGCTACAAATTCAATTACAAAATAATAGAAATTTCCAGTTGGATCCACACTCGAAAATACATAAAACACACGCGATTTATGTGTTGCTTTTTTCTCGTTTTTTTTTTATTTTTTTGTGTGTTTGCCGAAACGTAACGGGGCAGTGGCCGTGGATCCCGCTCTTTCCACCCATCTATCCCTCTCTCTTTCGCACCCGCTACTGTTTTATTGTTGTTGCTGTTGCGGCACTATTGTTTTTGTGCTACACTCGACGCTGGGAGAAAGGCGATTTTCTCTTTAATTATATTTTATTTTTTACATCAAAAATTGTGGCTGGTTTCCGTTTTGTTTTATTGTGTTTATTTGATTTATTTTTGTGGCATGGCGGTGACACAACGATGTCAAATTAATAAACAAATAGCAACTCGAAAAACCAACAACAAAAAGTTGGTGCGTGAAGGAAATTTGGCAATTTATGGTGATTTTTTTAAAACCTTTTGTTTTCTTTTCATTTAGCACTCACACACACACTTTGCAATTTGCATTGAATTCATAAAAAATTCAATTTCGAAATATGTATTTTGTGGTGATTATTCGTTGGCCGAAAAAGGGTTAATTAAACAATATATTTGGAATATATTGAAACACACACGATCGACGACTGCGACGCGGGCAGCGCTGCAAGCTGCGACTGCGAAAGGTGTAGCCTGCGAAAAAGCAACGAAGAGCGAACGGGCGACGCGTGTGCTACCTCCACGAAGCTTGGAAAGAAAATGAGGCACTACGCGGCTGCGAGAATTCCAACTGGAGAGTGGGTTTTTGGAATAGAGAGAGAGAGAGAGAGTGGGAGAGAGTGCAGCTGTATGGGTGAGACAGCTTGGTGCTGTATTTGTTGTTGCCTATTGGCCAAGTTTGTGGGCCACTTAAAAACGCTGGCTAAAGTTGTTGTCATTTTTACTGCCAAAGGTACTAAGCGTTTATTTTCCACTTGATCTGTTTCAAAGATCAAAACCTAACATAATAACACAAAACTTGATCCCTTAACCACATATTTAATTACCTGCCGGTTCTTATTTTTACTTCCATAAAAGAGTACTTAGACTTTTCTGTTTTTTTACGAATGGAACTGTGGTGTTTTTTTTATTTGATAAGACGTTTTAATTTATTTTCCACTCGAGCAAGCGAAAACCTTAAAATCAATAAGTATCAGGTTGGGAACAAAAATGTTAAAAGGTAAAATAGATTAAAAATAAAAAAAATTTAGAAAAAAGGTTTTTTTACATAAAGTTTTTTGTTAAAGCACTACAAAATCAGAGAACAACTTTTTTTATCTACAAATGTATTTTAGTACCGCGCACACCTGTGCATTTACCTGCAACTTGCTCTCGCTTATTTATAAGCGTTGACGTGTGCTGTCACAGTGGGTCTAATTGTCATTATATAACCCACCGTATAACCCGCCATATAACCCACCGTTAAAGTGCAGCAGCTACTAGAAAGTAAAACGCTCAATTATCCTCATTATTTGCATTTTAAAGCGAACGAAAACGAACTCGTTGCAGATTAAAAAGTTTTCAAAGTTTTCAAAGAGGGAAGCTGAGTGGTGTGTTTTTCCCACTTGACTCCATTGTTAAATTGGGTAATTGCAAAACAGATCCGAAAAAAATACGCACACATAAATCGACAAACAGTCGTTAAGAGGTGTAAATTTGTATGCAAACTACCAAATATCACACACACAGTTCCTCTCCCAAGCCAAACTCAAAACTCAAAATTGGAATAAATACAAAGAGCGGAAAGCTCGGCTCTCGCAGAGCGGAAAAAACAGCTGCTTAAGCTTGCAGGTGAGCAAGAGTGGGAGAGAGGAAAATAGAGAGAGAGAGAAAAAAGCGTGTGCTATGTCAAAAACAAAACATGAAAGATAGTCTTCAGGTAAAAAGAACGAAAAAGTTTGTACCCTATAAGCATGATCAGTCCCCAGTTTGCAACATATCTCTCGACCTTATTATCTTGGCCCAAATATCCATTTCCTTAAAAAATGCTTAAACTATTGTACCCAAAAATTTGGTGAGCTTATCACCATAAGTTCACAAATTACCTTAAAGTATGATAAAGTATGATTTTTCAGCAAAACTTATGGATAATTATAGTTATCTTCCATTTTAAAAGTGGTCATATTTTGTGGACCTTCTTGACATAAATAATTTGCAATGATAAGGTAGTTTGTGATCCTCACGACACACATTTTTGGAACGTTTGTTAAGATACACATCTATAGAGGGGCTGAAAAACCTAATTGATTTTGAGAATGCATCCCCGGAACGTGCCAAGAAATAGTAATACCCCCTCTCGAGGGTACTTCGATTGTGGCTGCGCTCGTAGTCGAACAATAAGCTGGGCTTACGTTACGCTCAGGTGACTCACGAACCGAGCGAACCGCACTAAACGAGCACTGAAGGGCGAGCGGGGGCGCTTTACTGGCAATGTTTTTTTTTTGTTTTTTTTTTTTACTTCGTTTATATTGTTTTTATCGTTGTTGTTGCTGCTGACGTCCGTATGTGCCATATGGAGAGGCATGTGCACGAGTGTGCGGCATTACGGCCTGGTAGTTCACTTGGTAGTTGGTCTCTGGTAGTTAGTCGCTTGCGGCGGCCCGCTAACAAAATGGGCAGCGTAATGCCTCACTGGCTTCACTGCGATCCGCTCGCTCAGCGGCTGAGCCAAGCGTTAAGCCCGATGACTGGATGACTATATGGCTAACTGAGTATTCGAGTATTCGAGTATTCGAGTATCCGAGTGTCCGTGTGTGTGTTTCAGACAACAAACCATTTATATCCGGACCTGCGGCCTGTTTTGACTTTTCATTGAAACCTGCTGATGCACAGAAAACAATTGTCATATGATATTAATGACCATCTTTGAGGCTTTTGTTTAAAGAAACTAGAAAAATATTAGATATTTTAAATATTCAATATTAGAAATATTATTAGATATTAGAAATGTTTGATATTCTTTATTTGAAAACAAAAACTTGATTTTAAAACATATCAATATTTTCCATTCAAAATAAAGCAAATATACTGCATTTTCTTATAACCCAACAAAACTTAATATTTTTTATTTTCAAATGAGGAACCGCATTAAAAATATTACTTTTCATCGTATATAACAGTTCCCTAGATAAACTAGAAATCATCTTACGGTTAAAGCCATTATTTGGGTTTATCTAAGAAGACTAAAATGTCAAGATACAATATATTTTATTTTTAAAGACATAGATGTGTGTTAACTTCAAACATGAAGAAACAAATTTAAGTTTCATCATATTCGAAAGAGGAGTGCTAGCAACTTGAAATCCAATATTTATCTGATTACATCAAAACAAAAATGACCTCGTTTTTATCTCTCTGTACTGCGGACGCTGTCATAGCTGCGGCATCGTTAAAACTCAAGTCGAAAACATATGCACACATAAAACCAAAACTTTTGCCACAGTTGTTCCCTGTACAGCCCCCTTCATCGAGCCTTTCAGTCCCAAAGCTAGCTGATATTAACGCATTAGGTACAAGGTACACAAACCCATTTGCCATACTTGTCTGGGCCGAGTCTCAGCTGTTATGAAACAATAAACAGCCGTCAACGATGATGACAGCCCCCAAGAAACAACAAAAGTCCAGAGCGGCGAGGGTTGGCGAAGGTATTTTAATTAGTCTTAAGCCATCAGCAGGGGTTGCAATTGCTACAAGAATTCAAGGTAGAAGGAATCTTTAATTAGAAGGTAGTTTATTTTCTTTGTGAAGTCTCTTTTGGTAACAATGGGGCATACCAGGGAAATATTTAGAGAAAATTATTTAATTT